CATCGCCCCTGTCCTCCCTCCCTGCACGCCGAACTACCCCTTCCCTCCCGTCCTTCCTCCGGCAAACTCTCCCCCTTTTCATCCTCCCTGCTGACTCAGGTAGCGAACACAATGAGTGAGGGACCTCGGCGACTAGAAAGAAAGCCATTCTACCGAGTGGCGAGATTGTGGACGGGAGAGAGAGAGAGAGAGAGTAGTATTTGAATGGCTGATAAAGATATGAAATAGATGGGAACAAAGTCTAAGCCGTTGGGATGGGGAGGAGGGGTTCGGGCTACAAGGTGACTGCAGGCCCTTTAATAACAGGAGTATATTAACTCGCTTAACCACGGAGATTCAAAATGAACTCAACTTCACTTAAGGGGCCTCGGAAACCATGAAATGCACATCAGAACATACACCTGCAGTCCCACCACCTATATTCCTCCAATCCCCCCCCCCGCCCCCACCTCTCTATTCGAGCTGTCTGTCATGGTGTGGCCCGGCTAATTTGAGTTCATTGGATGGCAATAATTTCATTTAGACCTTCATCTCTTTTTGGGCTGGATCTAATGAGGATGCAGGCTACTGACAGCCAGTGAAAGGCCGCTCCCTCAGTAATAATAACTTGGATCATATTCTTACCGCACGCACTGCCGTGTTTATCCTCGGAGGGCTGCGTCCATATGATGAAACTCATCTATAATGTGTGATTTAATATCGTGTTGCTCAAAAAAAAATCTTAGAGATTTTAAGCCAAAAAGAGGAAAGACAGCGGGCAATAGCGTGGTTTAGCTCAGGAGGTGCAGTGAAATAAATGTGTTTGTTTTGTTTTGATTTTTACATATGTCTCAGTCTGTTGAACTTGAGTTATTTGTTATTTTGAGATGATTTCCAAAAATGTTAGACAAAATGTAGTTACTTTTAGTGTAATAAAATATTCTTTCATATACATTTGGAGTCCTTGGATGTATTATGGTCGCCTGAGATAAGATCACCTACGTTTTCTTCATAATAATAAGAGTATGGCGTTAGTAAAATGAGACGATTTGTAAGGAGAATGAATCTATTTCTTTCGACAAAATAGACTGACACACAATTCTACATTCTTTTTTCAAATTAACTGTAAGTAAACAGAACAAAACTATGTACACACTAACAAAGAAAATGTTCTATATTTTCGTATAAGATTATTTTGTGTGTCACTTGCATTTCCGATTAATATATTAATTTAAATTAAATCCAATTAGATGTTTTCCGAAAGTGTCATTAATGACAACGGATTATCCAGGACGTGTATTTTACATAAATATATTTTGTTTAAATAAAATACATGTATTTGGTCACCTGTTACGATACAAATTTGCAATTTAGCTTAATACAGTATAATGACAATTTAAGACACGGTATATGTACTTCAAAATTTTACATAATCGATTAGGACATTTTAGAACACTGAATACAGTGTAGATAATACATTTAAGTAGAAATATCAATTTAAGAAATTACAGGGAAAGTGCATTTTATTATTGAAGATTATCACGATTTCTGATTTCTGTTTACAATCACAATTATTATTTCATTATTATTATTATTATTATTGTTGTTTTAATTGATCCGTTGAAAAGAAAGGGGAAAAAAATCCAAAGGCCATCTTGTTTACTCGTTGAGAAATAAATAAATAAATAGATCTGCAGAAGCCAATTCCCGCTCCCCTGAAGTTTTTATTTGTATTATGAGGAAATAACTGGAGAAAGTTTGTTATTATTTCATCACAATGGACGTTTCCTCTTGATGGTCAAGTGTACACATCTAGAAGAAGAAACGATATCAACAAACAGACACACACGTTGAATTAAAATTGCCATTTGTCGATACTATTAAAGCGGATGCTTCATGAACATTATTGGTCTTAAGCTTCCCGATATCCAGTGTCGTTTTAGAGCCAGAGAAAGGCCCGATTGTGGGCCTATCAAGACTGACTGCCATTCATCAAGTGAAAACGACCAATTGCCCAAGCGAGCCGTCGGTGGCCTGCAAACTAGGCCTTTAAACCGCGTTATACCTCCTTTCCTGCCTCCTTCATCACCGGTTGCCTAACACTGCTCCAATCACCAGAGTATAGCCCCAAATCTTAAAAGTCAGAGCTCATTCCTCAAATGTATTGCATCTCAGAGGGTGTTTTTTTTCTTTCCTCCGGCCAGCAGAGTATCAGAGGAGGTGTAATTGAGGGGGCGGTGAGGGGATGGAGCAGCGGTTCGCCTGAAAAGCTGCCATTAAAGCCAAATGGTCTGAACGCCGTAAAAACAGCTCTGCCAACAGCTGTCCCGCAAACCACGTGTTATACGCCGCATCCTCAAGCACGCACCACGCACGCACTGATCAGGCCGTGCTGGCTACTTAGAAGTATTGGAAAAGTAGAGAAAATACAAAAAAATAAAATAAAAAAAAGACCACACGAGTCTTCTAGGGTAACATTCGCATTGTGTTCAAAGGGGCTTTAGCCTCGTTCTTAGTCACATGGGTCTCTGAAGACATGTTTCACCTCTCCCGCAGCCCGGCCCTTCCTTTAATAACCGGGGGAATTGCAATTCTTGCCGGAATGGCCGCTTTGCTTTGCATATTTCCACACATGATAACGTTTTAGAAGCCCCGAGACAGGTGAGAGCAAAGGGAGAGGGATAACAGGCCACCGTATGTATCTCTGCTTATGTGCGCACAGGGAAGGAAGCTCTGGGCTCTTCAAACGAGTTCGCTTTTGCGTGCGTGTTTGTCTGCAGTTGTGCATCACATATAATATATATATATATATATATATATATATATATATATATATATATATATATGTTGCACATCAAATGGCTCATATCACAAAAGAGGTAGGAATGAAATGTGTATAAATTTGCATGTTTATCGGGATTCTTGTACCCTTTAAGGGGCCCATCGCGCCCCTTTGGTGCAACACCTGTGCCCAGACCGCATCTCTCAGCGAGCTGCACCTTCCTGGTCCCGATGAATAAAGGCCAGTCCCACTCTTCCCTAAATGTGATGTCAGTCGTCTCAGTCTGCGAGTCCTTATTAGAATAGAGAAGGGGGAGAGGCGATTGAAGAGGAGTTGTTTCCACTGGATTAAATGGTTTATCTGCAAGTCAATGAATATGTAATGACGCCTAACGAAAACCGGCCAGTGAGTTCTGTGCTCTGGTATACAGGGGCCTTATATTAAAGACCTCTTCTGCTGAGCAAAAACACAGCACACAGCCCGGGCAGAGAAAGGAAGAGGCAGAATAGGGGACGGGAAGAAGGGATACAATCTTGAATGCAACTCCAAGCTTAAGCCAGACAATCTCCCTCTGTCAATGGATGAAAAAGTATTTGCTCACTCACTGAGAATGGGACAGAGTCTTTCTCAAAACAAGGGTGGGGGGTGAATTTTTTTTAATTTTTTTAACTGCTTTATAAAAATATTGTTCCTGATAACCAGTCATGCCAATAAAGTAATTGAATTGATTTTATATAGAAGGGGTGAGAACAAGAGGAACAGAGTCCCTCCAACATGAATATGCTCAGGATATTTCTTCCTTTAGTAAACCCGATAAAACCATTGATTGTTGGCAAGTTAGTTGACCCGTAAAATGTGGGGGTTAGTTTCCTTTCTGAGCTGAGCATATAATTATGCAAATAGTGATCTGACAGTGATCCGCTGGAGGACTGCTGAAGGAGGCAAGGAGGCGGGGGGGGGGTCTGTCAGTGGGGTGACACACCAACTTTGCCCGGATCCTTTGAAAAGAGTTCATCTCCATGCGAGTTGTGCATATCAGAGCGGGCGAGCGCAAGCAGGCGTGACAACAACTCTCTTAAAGTTAAAATGGAAAGATCAGCCCGTGTCGGCACAGGGGTCTCCAACTATTTCATGTCCACGGCTCCACTCAGTCCACCCCCCCCCCTCCCTCCAATTTGGTTGGGTTTCATCCTAAAGCTGCTATGTTTTGTCACAGATCTACGAATGAGTCAAATCATTGTAGACCCACAGGATGTGAACTTCTAGCAACTTGTGCTCGAGAAGACCCAGAAGCAGCAGGGGACGACGCACACGTGGTCAATGCGAATACAGACGTTTACTTTGGAAAGTCTCACTAATACGAGACATTTTGCGTCGTCAATGCCAGTTTTCCACGCGACGTTTCTAAAGACATTTGTAACACATACAGTTGTGTGGTGTTTTGTGTACGTGGGTTTGTGAGATTGAATGGCTCTCTTTAATCAGTGGCCTGACACGGTGTGAGGGGGACTCGCCTGGTTCCACTTGTTGTTCAGGGGTTAATGGAAAAGATTTCTAAAGATTTATTGAGGGGGCGTTTAATGACCTGATCGGTTTCACCGCGTGAAAACAAATGATGCCGTAAAAAACCTCGCTGAGCTGGAGGGGGCTCACTTTTTCTAAAGTAATGACCAAGAAGAGTGGAATTACCGTTTATAGGTTGTTTTCATTTTAACACACTTAGTGACTAACTTACTCACTAACGATACAATCCGTTTAAAGATCCTGTCGGCATGTTTGAAAATGTCTTTTGTATTTTCATTTGTAACTTCTCAAAAAAAAAAACACAACAACGCTGAAATGTTGTAAAGTTTGTGGTTTGAACATTTTAGAAACATGACAAAAGATAGTTCATCACTGTCCGATCGTGTGGCAGCATGAGTGTGTGTTGGTCTCACCTCCCGGTTGGATTTCAGAGGAGTCATGTGAGATGATGACTCAGGTACTCTGAGCTCGACTTCCTCGTCCCGCTGAACTCTAAACTTTCGGACTCTCTCCGGTTGATTTTTCCATCTGATTTCTAGTACTGCTGATATATATATATATATATATATATATATATATATATATATATATATATATATATATATATATATATATATATATATATATATATATATATATTTTCGTGGGATGTAACATAAGTTACCTCTGCAGGAAAAACACGAGGAAATAAAAAGCAAAACGAAATACAAATAGGTTTAGTTTAACAGGCAAGAAGCAAAACTTAATTTTATTTGCTTTTAACAGGTTCAACAGGTTTATTTAAAAAAACTAAAATAAATTTTAAAATCGTTTTAGGACACTCTTAATCACTTTAAAACAGGATCATGCAAAGATCAGTTTAAAACCAAAACTCGAGACTGAGATAACAAAAATGACCAAGCTGGACACTCTTGGTTTCATGAAATCCAAAACATACGCCATAAAAGAAAACAGAGCTGTTCTTTAGACAATATTGCATTTACATCATCTGTATAAAGACTAAAATGAGCCCCCTTTCATTTGCACGCTGTGCTTTGGATTTGTGCTGCTCTTGCATCTTTTCCGTTTGCACATGGCTTACTGGATATTATCAAAAACAGTGAACATAGTCTTGTTTATTCCTAAGGCAACAATATACAAACCACGGAGAGAAAAATGAACTGATTGAAGCCGAAAAATGAGCAATGGTATCTCTGAACTAAACTCATCAAATCAAATAATAAGCAAACTTCTGTGCCGGAAACCTGGAGAGATGTGAATCAAATTAAAAGCAAATTAGGCCTGCAACCATCAGCCGCGGTTGTCTCATTACAGCGGAAAGATAATCCACAAAAGCCTTAAACCATGCACACAGTGGACAGGAAAGGTAGGGTTTCACAGTGTAAAAGTTAAACAATGGCAGCTATTCCAAGTACGAAAAGAAAAGGTCCAAATTTGAGAATGCGTCTAAGGTATCATAAGATTTAGAATCCGGCTGGAGGTTTTTACTAATGTCACGACACATTAGAAATATATTCCATTAAGCCTTGAGTGGTTTATAAAGCACACCAGTCTTGTGGAACATTTATATCATGTTTGTGTCACATAGACAGATTACGTGCAGCTGAGCGGGGAGCTGACTTTGTCACTTCTAAGAGTGCTTGGGTGGGAGGAAAAAATAGATATGTTACATTTTTCAAACATCTAAAGAAATATCATTCAGGCTTAGAATAATATTGAAATCTTGGATTTCCTGACACATGTAAGGCGATATATTGAGGCTTTATGAGTGTTGTCTGACTTCTGGCTCCTGTTAAAATGAGAAATCCCTCAAACCCATTTTGATGCTTGACTTTAAGTAATTTTAAATGTGCTCAGTGTCCTGCATTTTCCATATTCAGCACAGGTTGTGTATTTTTTATTATTTGTTTCATCACATTTACTCATCTAAGGACACCAATACCAAGGATATCATATGGAAACAAAAAAATGTAATAATTATAATAAACAGAGAGAAATGGACTCTCCACAGTTTTGCAAATAATTCTAAATATTGTCTAAGTATTGGCTTATTATTAGAAAGAAATCAAATAGTGTCTTATTTTAAGCACTGCAATTCCAGAAATGTCTGGATATATGAACAATATTTTACACACAGCTGAATGAGGAAAGTCCAGATTAAAACAGAGATGTTGTGAAAACAACTCCCTTTGTTCAAACGAAACAAATCATCAACGGGTAAGAATGAGTATCGCCTGCAAACCTTTGCAGTAAGTAAGGGCTTTTTTTCAAAGAGAAAGCAGAAGATGGGCGCTGGTCAGGTCGAAATGAAATTGAACCCGAGCTGAGATGATGTTGGTGTAAGAAGCCCAGGCATTAGCACCAGGAAGGGTAGGGAGGGGGGGGGGCTGAGCAGTGCAGACTGGAGGGCAGGCGGGGCAGTAGCTCAGTTCGGGCGGATGTCAGGACAATTAGAGGTGCACCACCACAGCGCGTTGTACACAGCGCCTGTCAGCCTTAATCTCTGTTGCCGTGGCCCGCACCCGCAGCCAGGCCACCAGCGCTAACGCTCAAGCCCGTATCGCTTTGAGAGAGTTGCACTCATCTAGAAGTAATGCAAAGCGTTATTTTGATGTATACATGGTGACCCTGCACTCTTGTCTCTTACCACAACAAGGTTGTGTGTGTGTGTGTGTGTGTGTGTGTGCGCACAGCCAGGGGAGGCTGGAAGGGTGTAATGACACTCAGGGAGAACAATAAGAAGAGGAAGATGGAGGGGGGTTACGGAGGGGAAAAAATAGCAGAGAGGATCTGGAAGTGTAAAGCTTCACTTTTTGCATTCCCCCCTTTGACCCGTTGCAATCTTCTTCAGTCATTTTTATCACCCCTCTACAAATCTTGGTGTTTGTTTTTGAGGGAGCTGCTGCGTGTGGTGACAATGTTGGAGTTCTCCACCACCTCCTCGTCCTCTTTTGCCTCCAGGATTGCAGTGAAGAACCTGAAGATGGAGTTGAAACTCGTCCAGGAGGTCAGCTCGTGGCGCTCTGTGCCTACAACGTAAAAGACCCACACGTAAACATCAGCATGAGAAGGGTTTCAAACATATTTCGACATCATCAAAAAGGTAGCTTTGCATGTTAAATGGTTAAATAAACAAGTATCTATTTTAGTCTCATGACCGCTCCCACAATGTACTGCTTGGCTCGGTAGTCTAAGGCCTTTTGCATGAGAGCTATGAAAGCCTATGACCTGTTAGTCTAAGGGGACTGTCTTAATATGTTATCTAAGTGGATACCCGATCATCAACACCACAGCTCGTCCCTCTTTCCATATCAGGCCTTCCAACAAAACCAGAGATATTCACAATGGGCGCACTAAGCAAAACCAGTGGAGCGGTAGTCATTCATTCGAAAGGGCTGATTGAGGATAGGCAAGAACGCTGGAGAGAGGTAACTATTGAGCATATCAAGTGGTTTGGCGGAGGTGGGGAGGGGGCAGAAGGGCTGGGGTTTCCCTCTGACCTCCTCCAGGTTAGCCAGTTCCCAAAGTTGGGGTCAGACTGAAGCCATAAATCTGGTACACGCGCCTCGGGTTCCTGCCCGCCTCAGGGGTAATGGTATCGGTGGCCGGCTTTTCAGTTGGATAACTTGCAAACTTAATGGCAGTTGCTTTGTTTCGGCAGCGAGACCTGCTTACGAAACGCGTCGACTCTGCATCAAAGCATCCGTGATGAGGACAGATTGTTGCCGCTGCTGTTGGCCTACTCGAACTCCCAGTCCTGCTCGCTAACTGCTCAGCGAGAGCGGAGACAGATTTACAACTGAACTTGAGACGCCGCAGTGAGGTGCCCCCCTTGTTTCCCAGAGGGAGAATAGGTTTACTGCAAAATTATATTAGGAGTTTCATCCCTTGACAGATAAACCTAAAGGAAAATTTACATGTGTTTGCAGAGTGAGGGACGAAGCTTAAAGCAATGAGTTCCGCTTTTTGAATCCTTATTTGCACACATGTTTTTTCAAGATAAGCAAATTAAAATGTGTTTATACAATTTTCCCAAGCTTAGTATCGGAAATCACTTAGTGTTTGAAGAAAGCAACCGGCCCCTGCAGAAAAGAGTTAGAGACAACGACCCTCGTGGCCGAGTCAAATCAGTGGTACTTCTGCTCCTCTCCTCGTTTCTCCTAAAAGACAGTAGGTCACAGGGATACAATTAGGAAGCCCCTTGAAGTCTCACTTAACCATAGACGGGCCTCTGATGACCAATGCGCTGACCCCATGTTTATTAGATTGACCCCTGCCTGGACGCATTAATGGAGAGGGTGTGCTTGCACGTATGTGTTTGTGTGTATGATTGTTAGACCTGGGGTAGGTGTGAGTTCTGGGTGTGGATTTTGGTTGCGTTGTTGCTGGTGTGTGTGTGTGTGTGTGTGTGTGTGAGATCTATACAGCGAGCAGACTGCAGTCAGTGCCTTGGGTTAAATTTACTGGCTTGGCAATCATGGGAGTCAATAAGCCTGCACTCTCAGTGACTCTGCTACCTGTGTAGGGCTCAACATTACACCTAACCCTGGAAAACAAAGACACAGCCCTCTCACACCACTAATCTATCATTTATATCCAATTTGAGGCCCTGTGGTCTTTTTTCCACCTCCTCCATTTCCCCTGTCTCGTCGGTCTCTTCTTCACCAGCGTTTTAACTTCTGTTTTGTTCTTTTTTTTTTTTTTTTTTTCTTCTTCCGCAGAAGCGATCAATGCCGCAGCGTTCTCTCATTCACCCTGAACTGGTGGTGAACTCCTCCGGAACGCCGCCAGCCTCTCCACCCTATCCCCTCGCAGTCCGGGGTCACCAGGGGGGCGTCTCTGTGCCAATATGCAGATGAGCCTGTGCCCCTCCAATGACTCTGGTGTTAAGCTCCACCCCTCTATGTAGCAGAGCTCCCGCACCCCACCCCGACAACACTCACACGGATGGAGGAGTAAACCCACTCACACACGGGTTTAAATGGGCCTTTAACAGCTTCCGTCCGCTCTTCCTTCAACAACCAAAGTGTGTCGGACCTAATGGATGTTGTCGAAGCGAATATGTGTCGCCTGATTTAGAGGAGGAACCCCCGATGAACAGGCTTCAATAGCCACTAAAGACTGAGAGAAAGAGAGAATTACATCAGCTACGCTACAAATCAAAGTAATATCCTTAAAAGATATGGGGATCGATAACGTGTCATCTGGCTGAATCATGAGTGTAAAGTGAATCTATATGAGTACTACTTTATCCCCAATCTCACTCCCTCGATGAAAAGCTTGGTTTGTTTTTAAAAGGAATTGATTTTACGTATTGTTAAACCAGATGTAACAGACGACAAGGAGTGGGGCCATTTTGACCAGTTTAATTACAACTGCATCTTGTATTTAACTGATTGAACTTTGAAAATCAAGAGCAGTGAGTATTTGTTTGTGCTTTCTGTAAATCAATTAAGTTGTATGTGCTCATTTTAACAAGATTATTGTAATTGCATTAATTTAATAAAGTTTAGTGTCAATGCAATTATGTGCTCATTTATTGTAAATGCAATAATGGTGTCACTGTGCGCTCCATAATATTGGGTATTGTCACGGGAACTATAGAAAAAAATCTCTTCACTTCCCAACTGTGTTTGCAATTAGCATCAGGCCATGGCGAGCTTAACAGAGATTATGTCTGCAACGAGAATGATGATGGCTGTAACCTTGAAGTGAGGATACACACACACACGTACGTACAAACACACACACACATACACACACTGAGCTCCATGAAGATGTTTCACAGTAGTGCAGGATAAATCGGGTACGTGGTCTTAAGCTCCCCTCCCTTATTCTCCGGTCATGCCGTGGGTTTCAGTCCGGCGGCGATCCTTCGCCCTGTTTGAACATTCTGTGCGCGTTGTCTTGGCCTGGTGAGGCTGCCTCATTATGTGACAGGCAGAGGAGAGCATTTGATCCAGGATATTTAGCCTCGTCCACTCTGTCACAGCCACTGGAGCCCTCTCAAGGTAATTGACTGACTGTTTGATCTCCATGTGACTCTACACTGGTACAAGACGCTGACACACCCACCCACACACACGCGCGTCACTTACTAGCGCCTACTAATGAGTGGCACACACTCACACATGTAGCAGAGACCAATTGTACCCTTCCCCGAAACACCCAACACAATGCAGCAACGCACACAAACGCACACTGTTGTTATCAGTTGTGTGCAGAGAGGTAAGGGAACAGAGGAAGAGAGTTTTGGGCCGTCATAAAGGAAACAAGGAAACTCCTCCATAGCTAACGGCCATGCTTTCTTCCCTTCGCACCAAACGCTACATGCTGTTACAAATGGTAATCGGCTCTGATTGTCACAAATTTCAAAACAAACGCTAGGTGACTGAAAAGCCAAAGTGACGCCCCGAGTGATACTCCGTCAGAAAGCCAGAATCAAAGCATGCCGACTATAATTAGGTTCCATCTGGGCTACATTATTTAAAGCCGCACCAGTTAATTGCTTGTGTACAAATGGCCTATTTTATTTGAATCAAACTTTTTTTGTTATTCCTAATTACATTGATGTTAAGGGGGCCATATCTCTTTACTGCATGTATAATATAAATACATATTAAAAATGTTAGGAGGATTTTGAGACCAGGGAAATGCAAAGCAATAATATATTTGTGTGACTGGAATTCCTTTAAACAATTATTAATACAATTAATCAAACAGACTGACATTTGGGTTAAACATTTAATGAGCTTCAATTAAAAAAGGAGATGGGAAACGTTGAAATTTGTGAAGCAAAAATGACCAAAACAGAATAGCTAACAGGAGCGATAATATTACATGCAGAAGCAAACATTTTCTCATTTCCTCTTGTCAAAGCTTTTCATAAAAATAAAAAAAATCGGACACAACAGTGTATTTTCTTATCGATTTCCTATCGGCGGTAACCTAAGCGTTTGTTTTCTCTCTACGTGAGGTGGAGCCCTGGGCTGTGCTGCGGCCCCCGGCCGCCTGCAACCTTAGCCGGACTGCTGTTTGTGGAAACTATCTGTTGCATGGATCAGCGGCGGGGAATCGCTATCTGTATCCTGGTTGTCAGCCGATCGGATTTCCGTCCCTGACACTCTGTGATATTAGGTGTTTCTCTATGCCCTGTGTGTGAGTATGTGCACATACGTGTGTGTGTGTTAGCTCCTACGTGCGCGTTTTTGTCCGTAAGAAACGCACACGAGCACACAGTTCTTTATTCGTGTTGTCATCTTGCTTGCCGACATGCGTAAAGGTCAAGAATGTCATTTTGTCCCACGCGGCTGTCTGTCGAAAGGGGGTAGGACACGTTGCCACTGGAGACGAGGTCAGAGGGAGCCCGGGCAGGTGACAGCCGGCCGGCCACGCTGCCGGAGCCGCTCCGTCCTCCAACAAAACACGGAGATGTTGTCCTCAGACAAAAAGCTAATTAACTGCATTCAACCGCCTTCCCCACCACCACCTCTCAAATTCCACTCAGGGTGGAGGCATCCACGTCAAATGGACAGACAATGTTATCAGATTTTCTATCTGCTATGCGACGCAATGGTTATTCATTTTTTTTATTTTATTTTTTATTGATATGGTACTAAGCCTGCGCATGTCTAAAGAGGCAGAAGAGACACAGAAGAAATACAATAAAGACGAAGAAAGGACTAAAACCTTTTAAACCGTGGCGTCTATCAATACCACTGCTGTTCTTGAAAACACCCTTCATTTTTTAAACGCTTGTCGGGTAAGCGGGGTATGCGCCCCGCTTACCCGACCCCTCCCTCCCCCGCAAACCTCTCCCTCGCACTGCTTTTAATTACTTTGCTTATTATTGTGTGTTGTGGTTAGACAAAAACAAGGCAGAACTCATTACGCATCCTGAAATGAGGAGCCGGAATGAGTAGCTACAGGGGCCGCTGAGGGGACTCTGTATTTACTCAGAATAAAAATACCAACAGAAAAGAGACACGGGGAAACAAAATGGATAGACAACCCAGAATGAAGAGAATATCACACTAACTTGTTGAAATCATCATCCAACGTAGGATACTTTGCATTACATATAATATTTCCGGACAACAAGGACTCCACATAAAAGACGGTGCAGTTCTGTACTTCTCCTTTCTCCTTCAGTTCCCTCCCTTCATCTATCCTTCCATAGCGTCTATACCCAGACTGCACTGAGTGCTTTTTTTTTATTTTAACGTGAACGAGTGGCCTTGGCCATCATAAAGGACCCTCGTTTTATAGACTTGGAGCTCAGCATTTACAAGATAACCCTGGTCCAAGGACAGCTCCAGCTATTTGATACCAGCGTCAGACGCTCCCTCTCCTCTTTGGTATGAATCCAAAGCCCGAACATGCTCTCGCATCTGGCAGCACCTCTCAATGTCAGTTGTTTTATTGGGGATGAGACACTTTGGAAGTAGAGCAACACCCCCCCATTTCACTTTTTTCATTTATTTCAAAATTTGTAATACCGACATTAAAGAATGCTTTATTTACAGAGTGCGATTAAATAATAAGATTGAATATTAAAGTGAGCACTATGAGTAGCATGTATGTGTTATTGACAAAATTACATAAATATGTAATTTGGTTAAAAGGGATAATTTGAAATAGTCTAAGGACACCATATGCTCATAACCAGGTGCATCTGATATGGATACATATATTTGATTTAACAATCAGATGCACACAAACCCCGGTTTCTGCCAGTCCTTTCATTAGAAACCATTCTTCTGTTGCTTATCAATTAGGGGGGGCAAATATTTCCGGCAAAGATTCACTGTCAGGTTTTGTTTTAAACATGCGCGTGTACCTGTTGATTGATTGTATGTATGTGACACAGAGAGACAGACAGACAGAACGGGAGAGATTCAGTGACTGGTTGTGCATACGCACGTATGTGTATGGAGGGGACTTGTTGGGAGTCCCACCCAGACATTAGCACTGTAAACAGTGTAGGCCTCCTTCCCTGTCCAGGCCCTTTGTTCCTTCTGCACCACCATTGGTCGGGACTTAAATGGCAAACACTCAGGGGCTGCTAGCTCGCCTGACACGGTTTTGTTTTTGGCCTATTGAGGGGCAATGGAGAGCTTCTGTTTCTATGCGCAGGCACAATGTGTCTCAAAAGCAGCATGGCTGAAAAGAGAGGCCCCCACAAAGACTGTCCATTAGTGGAGGCACTGCATGCATGCGTATACGTACACTGACACAGGGACAAGTGCATTAACACACACTGACGCGCACACACACACACACATCGTGATGGCTGGGCAAGGTCAGGACAGAAATCCTTGTCAAAGACAGTGGTGGAGATGGAGCAGTGTACATCTGGGTAAGCCCACGCGCAAGCTACCACACACACACACACACACACACACACACACACACACACACACACACACACACACACACACACACACACACACACACACACACACACACACACACACACACACACACAGCGTCTATATTACCAAATCCGAGCCAAACTGCACACTCGCTACAACCCTTCACTATGCTACACTCACTCCTCACTCGCATAAACACACAACCTCTGCTCCACTTCAACACAATGAGGTCTGATGCACACATACACACGGACCTCCCTAACACCTTCGGGACAATACTAGGCATAGAAAAACCACACTCACACACACACACACAGACACGTCCACACTTCTACAATTTCAGACACACACACACACATACACACATCACTCTGTCACAAAAGAGGAGAAGGAGGAGGAGGAGGAGGAGAGGGGTAAGAGAGGCCCCTTTGCACCTGTAAGAAAGACGGGCCACATTGAGAATCAATGGTCACAGAATAGACAGCTTTTGAGTGTGAGAACCCCCCATCCACACAAGGCCATGGTGATTGCAGACACCTCACATGCAGCCCTCCTTCACTAACCAGGTTCTATGTGCTCTAGGAAATAATAGAAAACAGTCACGAACACCACAGCCACATGTTTCATGCAATGCAGAGGTACAACCGCAAAGCATCGCAAGGCATAAAAAACTGGCAGCCTGATGAGGGAACGGTATACGTTATGAAAATAATAGCACCAGACCCAACGAGCTGAAGGGGCACAAACAAACTCACATGTGAACACGCACCGTTGTGGGATTCTTGGGTCAGATGACATGGACACAAGCCCCCATTGTTTTAACCAGCCCTTCCTTCCTGGATGAAAGGGATGCTGACTCATATAAACAATAGCGTTGCTACTGACCATGGGGTGTACTGGGTGCTGTGCAAGAGCCACGTTCTACTTCGCTTGCGTCTCAAAAACATGCACACACACCTGCCACCTACAGCTTGTCACGTGTCGCTTGACCTTGTGATCCAATGCATTGGAACACAGACAGAGAGGGGGACATGGAGTGTGTGTCAGTTGGAGGCATGAAAGGAGGACGAGGAAGAGGAGAGAGGTCGGGTGCGGGAGAAGGAGGCCAGGGGTGGAGATAGCAGCAAGTGGGTGTTGAGGGCGGGGCAGG